TTTTTTTCTGAGAAAATACACACTCAACCAGATGTAGTGGTTCAAGAAATGAGTTTTGCTCTATCGAGTGAATTTTTTGTTACTTTTTACCAAAATGAATACTGAAATAAAACAAGTTATGAATCGCCGAAATAAATGCAAATACATGCTTTTGCATAAAGAGGAAAAACGGAATGTTGAAGCCAATACAAGGACATACTTCTTTTTGTCGATACCCGACTACGCAAAGTACGCAAAGTACCTTTAAGTCCACTATGTTTGCATCATATTCTTCAGAGTAGACTCATTCTCGGCCGCTCCGTTTATTCTTTTGTAAAATGGGAACATTGGTAACAACAACAACAACAAAACACCCCTTACTTACAAGTCATCCACTTCAACGGCCCTGGGCACATTGCGTGACTACCAGCGTAACCAACTGTGTGCACACATGGGATTTGTATCTGCGTGCATGCATTTTCCACAGCTGCACTTGGGTTGTGACTCACCAAGTCCAAATTTTTTTTTTTGCCGTAATCGAAGCAAATAAAATAAATAATGAACGTGTAACGCGAGCAAACATAAATGGGGCTATTTTTGTCCCAAGTACTGTACAGAACAAATGTGCACGAGGGGGAAGCCGTGTGGCAGCGGTGAGCGCACGGCACTTTCAACCCAACGCACACGAGTTTGATTCCTAGCCATGGCTGCTAACACCGGTGGCGAGCCACAGTTCTTGGGCTCGCACTCTGCATGCACCAACCTGCGCTAACCAGCACTAACCAGCACTAACCAGCAGTAGTGAAGTATGGTCAATGAAGCCGCAGGACTGACACTTTTTGGGGAGGCCCTTATCCAGCAGTGACTTGACAAGATCCTCACAACGATTTCATACTATTCATGTAAGTGTGTTGATTTGTATAAAAAAAAATTTGTGTTTTGGCAATCCCACGAAAAACAAAGGTCAGATGGGTTCATCCAGGAATTGAAAGTGTGTTAAGAAACACCAATGGGAAGTGTACCAAGGGCAGAAGCTTTGAACACTTACAAGATAGCGATCCCAAATGTTTCACATCCATCCTGAGAAATACAACCCCAGTTTACATCACAGCTCAGCATCAAACGGAGATTAAAAAAACTCTAACACTTCCCACGCTCAACACTTCCCACTCAACACAAATACGCAGAACAATGGCTGTCACGAACTATGAAAACTTTCCTTCCGAAATTCCATCAACCAAACCAAAACTACCTCGGCAATGCAGAGACACCGCAACGTTCATTCCATTTATAAAGGAATGCGATCACACGAAACGCATCTCTCCTTGAATTTTGCAGTCGCCTCACTCTGCGCATGAGATACATTTATCTCGACTGTACACATTCTATTAAATTCACGGTGTCAGTTTAACACCATACGTGGCTGTTAACAAAGAAAATATTTAATGCAATAATATGAGACTTGCACTAGAGACTGGCGTCCCAAGGCCGCAATTTTACCCGAGGCGACTGACCTCCCCTCCTCCAGCACTCTGCCCCGTATGCCTCTTGACACCAAATGGTTGACATACATACCAGTGACACTCATTACGTCAAAAGAGATCACAACGAAGAAATATCGTAATTTTGGTAAGAAGCTGTATCTCTATACGAGCAGAGGATGACTGTACCACTGCAATAATTCACTGCTATCAGAACAACGCTCCTGGCAAACACGAACCAAGTGCAGGAAAATGTTTGTTTATTAGAATACGGGCACGTGCCAAATTACAATAATGACCCAAGGAACTGAATGATGCCAATTAGGCACAGGCTGCTCCAAGACAGAGGGAATACCTACAACGATCCAGCTCATCAGATTTGAAACCCAAAGGTTTTCAAATCCTATTTTGTGCCTGTTTAGCTGCTTCAATCACATGTAATCTAATCATGCTTGTGGTGCACTTCACGGCATCACCTTAACAATGGCATAAAAACACTGCATTTTGCCCGCTAATGCTCTCCATGTCCAATTCATGACATGCTGCCAGAGCCTTTGAACACGCACTCCACTAATGGCGAATGCATATTAAACGTCATTGCCTTCACTTGCAATCTGGGCACTCATGAGCGTTTGCAGACAGCAGTGCAAGTAACATTAGCTGCTAGCTGACAGGTAAAATACCTGCGGGTTAGCGAGGCCATGGTGCACACACAAGTACATTAACCACAGACACATATATTACACACACATGAACCGTAGCAAGTCGGGAATGACCGAGGTCTGTCACTAGCTCGAAGATACACATGTGCAACACGAATGTGACGAGTTTATTTGATTTCATAAAACAAAGATGTGATCATTTGCTTGCTGTACATAAATCATTGTTGTAATTCTTATTCAAATATGATCTTGGCATCTTCAGTAATGATGCTCTTCCATCGGCAATTTAATTAAGGTGTTAATGATTTCAATTTACGGGCTCAATAATTACAGTAGTTTAACCGAGCTTATCTTTCTGATTGTGGTGTGCTTATGCTGTCCTCCAGCGTTAATGTAAAATTCCTTATCACAAAACGCACAGTGCCGGAAGCATTGTAGGTGCATTACGTTAGTGGTAATTAGAGGGGGAACATGTTGGTACTTTGCAAGTGAGAACAAGAACTGATCAATCATTACACCATATTTTAAGGCAAACAATATCATTGGCTCACATTTCTTGCCTATTTACCTGCACCTGATAATACCCTAAACACACAAAATGTTCATCATCTTCCAACAAGTACGCTATTTATAAAGCAATAATTGAAATAAAAGTAAAAAATAACAACACGTGCATTTTACACGTAGATGGTGTTTTGTAATAACACATACAAGCAGCTGCTACTTGTGCACTTACATGAAAGTGCGTTTAATGCGATGTTGTTTACTATTAGCACACCTCACCACAGAAAGTAATGTGTGAACACAAACGAACCACACACACACATTGCCTATGTACGCACATAAACATTCACGCGAAGAGGCAAACAAAGATACAGAAGAGCGCACGCAAACACAGATACACGCCACTCACTCCAAGTGGGCAATTCTCACTAATTCCGACCCTGGATTTGTGATTATTTTCTCGGAATCGGACAGGATTCCAAGCAAAGACATGGGATCAGCAGAAACGGGGAATTGTGCTGGGGCCAGGCTATGTGAACCCCAGCATCACGTAAAATGGGACGGGGACCCTGGAGCCTCATGAAATATTTTACACACGAACTGGACATGTTTCAATGGCAATTCCAAGTGATACCATCATGGCTACATTTTATTCTGGTCAATATAAGCCTACTGGATTCGATTCCAGCTAGCTTAAATGTCGATTCTAGTTGAAACCAGCTGGCTATAATAGACCCCAATAATCGCAATTGAAACGGATGACCGATGTGTAGTGCACAGAATCTGTCCGATTCCTGTTTGGTATTCAGGCAAGATAGCAGGACATGTTGGGCCTAGCCAACCTAGTGGAATTGTAATTGAAACGTGTCTAATGCAAATATACTGGCGAGCTGGTATCAGGGTCGATCACTGCAGAAGTAGTACTGGGACCATCAAGAATACCAAAGGAACATCTCTGACTACCAATCGGACTTCCAAGATGACTGTGACAACCACTCAAACCACCAGAATTTCCCAATCAGGATCACCAGGACAATTACTTGGACCACTACACAAGGACCACCAGAGACTACCACTAGGCCTACCAATAGGACAGCTGACACTGCCGATCAGACCGCTGTGACCAGTGGGACTACCAAAGACATCAAGGACTACTGGTACAACCAAATGATTGGAAGCTCACTCCCGTATGGAATTTACAGACATACACACAAGACGCTCACTAATGTATGTGAGGAAATTAATACAATACCTGCAGGAACCTCCCAGCTCAAATGGGTACAGGGAGAGAAAAAATTACCCAAATGCTTCTTTCTACAGGGGATGACTAGCCATCACGATCAAGCAGCATCAAATACGTACTAACACCTCCGCAGAGCAGAAGAATCGAACTTACAATAAACCACCCAAACGCAAGCACCCCATATAATAACGCAGCATTAATAACAATGACACAAATAGGGTTACCTCCCACAGTGTCAATGGGATGCACCTACAATATATCCAATTATACAAACAACTAAGCTCGCAACATATATCAAGCAAGAAATGTGCATTATTTTTTTATTTTTTTCTATCTACGTGACTTTACCAAAAGAACCAAAGAGTAAGAATTGTACAATTTCATACGTGCATTACAACCGCTGCAACACGCAGCGGCAATACCAATGGCTGCCACGTAGCGTACTTTTATACACGAAGGCACAATCACTCACACCCTCCTCTGCCCTTGTGCTGCTTCCTCCTGTACTTTCACTCTTGAAGTCAAGACACTGGAGCATTGTACATCGCGACACCACGAAGCATTATAGGCCCTGAAGTAGCAAAGACCACTGTCAGCCATGTTCTCCCTCTAACCCTCCGGTTATCTAAAGTCTTTCAAATAAAAAGTTTATTCTATATTACAGTATCAATTGTGAGAAATGTCCGCGCAAAATGACAGTTGTTTTGGGAGGTGTTCTGTTATACAGGCGCCCATGTTAAAAAGGAAATTCTCACATGAATTAATTCCAGATGCTTTACAAAATGAACAGAAGAAAAAACACACAGTGCAGTTCATACACGGTGACAAAGATCTCTGATTTATCCATACAGAAGGTTGAAGGAAGTGCTGTTAGCCAGCACCTTTTAAGAATGGCAATGCACTGCACAGATGGTGTATGGCTACAGGGGAGAGAAAATGGTCCAGCCACGTTCAGCTTGATAAAACATTTTATGCACAGGCCAGGTTCAAACAACAAATGCCAATTAGTATCCATTGACTGACAGGCAAAAGAATGCGCACAACGCGCAGGCATGTAAACATGCCAGCGACGCGACAAACAAACCAGGTACGATAGCTTGGCATGGGGGTGGGGGGCGGAGGGGCACATACCTCGCTTTGGCTTGGGGAAGCTGTCGTGCAGATGAAAGACCACCTTCTCCACAAAGTGCTGCACGTTGCTGTGCTCAGGCCCTCGGACGAACACCACCCAGTCGTGCGTGAAGCCCTCTGCCGTGGGCTTCTTGCGCACCTGGGCACGATGCCCCAGTTCGAGCTTCACCTGCACAGCGCACTGCAACACACGCGTCCGCTCATTAATCATACTGCACGCCGATTGTTCAATGTGCGTCAGTATTGGAACCTTCCACGCTCGGCACAGAGGATTCCGAAATCCTGGCGCGCGTACAAAAAACAAGGAATCGCTGTTCTTCATTTATTTTCTGCTGTTTAGTAATTATGGGCAATTTTCCAAGTTTGAGTTATGACAGTGGCCAACTATGGCTTATTCTTGCAACAACAAAAAAGTTCCCTCCGCTGTGAGGTGTCCACAGCAGCTTTGTGAGAAATGAGAATGCAATGCAGTTTTCCCAAGCAGAGGCAAAATTCAAACCGCCAAACACTCATAAAAACTGCCACTTTGGTGCAAAGCATGCAGCCACTCGGTTGTCTTAGCATACTGCAACACCGATGCACTTTACTGGCAGATAAAAGGCACAATACACTGGGCACGATGGCATCGTAAAACTTCACCCCGCACAGCACGCACGCTGCCATCCCAGCACACAATGCACGCAAACGCCTTTTACCCAAACCCATAACCGATAAGTGTCACCAGATGGCACAATACACTGGAGCCTCACCTGCGCACGTTACTGACTGCATCACAAAAATGCACACGCACAAAAGACACGTGGATAATATAATTTGAACAAAGGCTAGGTGGCAGAATGCAGTGAACGCCATAGATTTTAATTGTGCAGTGGTTCTTAAAACTTCGGTCCTCACGCAATGCATGATATGCGTGGTCAGACCTTTAATGCCTACCAAGTGAAAAAGAACGCGTGCAATCCATGGGGTTTAAATATGCATAACACCGAGACAAAATAAAAGGTTGGCGGCGTATGGGAAGATAATTCTTAACGAGTACTTGGGGACGGTTTCACCACCTCCACCTTGGGACAGTTTCACGCGTAAAAAGAGCACTTCACAAGAACACGGGACACATCAACATCTTGGTGGGGGGGGGGGGGGGGCTCGGCAGCACAGGGCGTGGGTTGACTTGGCACAGTCGGCCAAAATACGAGCGACACCTGCACGGGAGCGCTTGCATTCCAACATGAAGTCAGCTTACAGTTCACGCGCACGATGATGACACGTGGGCATTTCAACAAGCGACACAAAATGCACGGCGCCTGGCGTCTTATCGCCTCGCACGAAGACGGCGTCGCCCACCTGGACCAGTGGGGCCGCTGTCAACCGAACACGAAAGACAAACGCGTGCATTTACAAGTGACATTAGCCCGGATGGTTTGTACTGCACAGCGATGTCCTTTTTATTTCCTCCCCTTCCCACCTCTGGCCGGGCAGCAAGCAACAACAACAACAAAAAAGACACGGACGCCTGAGCAGTGAAAAAACTGCGGACCCGGAGGCGCAGAGACCTCGTGCATTTGCACACGCAGACACAATACGTTCAACATCCAAGCACGAAGACAAAGACCCCCCCCCCCCCCCCACATGCACACACACCGTGTAGCCTTTAAAATAAGACTGTTGGGGCATGCGAAGCGAGTGAGCACCAATAAAGGCCAACACACCACACGAGGGGGTGGCGAACACCATGCCAGGCCGCCTTTGTCACCCCAAACAGGCTGGTGTTGGCGCATCGTGCCAGGTACTCATTTAAGGTTGAGTCGACCTAAGGGGAAGGGGGCTCAGTTCAAGTATTCGCCACTTGCTCTCGGTCGTGAGCGGGATTTGAACTTCGGGGCTGCAAGGGTTGGTCGCGCAATGAGCTCATCACGGACGCCGCTAATCCAAACACGAGCACGCATACACACGCAGGTATGGACACACACACACGCACAGTGGCACACAAAGACGAACGTAAACAATGCGATTAATATTGCACGGGTGGTAAACTCGCCACGATAGCAGCCAAAAAAAAAGATGCAACACTAAGCACGGCCATGCGTTTGCGCACACGCGCGTATGAAGAAGATGCGCCCACAGATATGTGCACACATAAAGAAGACACGTGCAATGCTACATTTGTTTATATGCGCGCACGTCAAGAAACGCGCGCATTAAGCACAATACAAAACATAGCACAAATATATAACCACGCGAGCGCAAACGTTGTGCTGGAAATACGTGGATGGGAAGTACTAAATCACTAAAGTGTGCAAGACACATGCACACATATACACACACACGCACACGGATGTACACAATAGAACACACGCATGGACGTGTGTTACGTGTACATGACCACAACATTTCCAAACATACATTTGCTTACGTGCATAAAAACACACACAAACACAAGCTCACGTAAGCACACGCGCGCACATGCACACGCGCGCTTACACGCATCCACATGCATTCACTCACACGTATAGGAATACACGTGCGTGCATAAGAATATACACACATGCATAAAACATTTACATCTACTACGCTCTTGCACACACACATATATAAGTAAACACATAGAAACGTAAACCTACGTACATGCGGTAAACACGCCTGCACACACCTATACTGTACACATGTTCATGCGCACTGTATGCGCATAAACACGTACAAATACACGAACATATACTTACCAACATGTACTTACACGTACGCGTGTAAGTACGCGTACATGCATACACACATGTACAAAGAGAGACGCACGCATGCAGACACGCGTATGCATGTTCACGCAAACCCACACGTATACACATACACCGACGTTCATACACACATACAAGCACAAATGTGCACGCACATATACGTACCAAATCGTACGCTCACATATACATGTACGTATATTCAAACGTAAACACGTACCATACACGGATGTACGCGGCACATGCCCATACATGTACAAGTACGCACAAAAATACCCGTGTACGCATACCCGTGAATACCGACCCGTGCGCGCTCGCACGTGTACCACACCCACCAATAAATATATCCCGTGTACACACACACCCCGTGTATACACACACACACCCCGTGTACACACACACACACACCCCGTGTACACACACACACACCCCGTGTACACACACACACACACCCCGTGTACACACACACACACACCCCGTGTACACACACACACACACCCCGTGTACACACACACACACACCCCGTGTACACACACACACACACCCCGTGTACACACACACACACACACCCCGTGTACACACACACACACACCCCGTGTACACACACACACACACCCCGTGTACACACACACACACACCCCGTGTACACACACACACACCCCCGTGTACACACACACACACACCCCGTGTACACACACACACCCCGTGTACACACACACACCCCGTGTACACACACACACCCCGTGTACACACACCCCGTGTACACACACACACACCCCGTGTACACACACACCCCGTGTACACACACCCCGTGTACACACACACACACCCCGTGTACACACACACACCCCGTGTACACACACACACCCCGTGTACACACACACACCCCGTGTACACACACACACCCCGTGTACACACACACACACCCCGTGTACACACACACAACCCCCACGCCGGGCGAACGTCCTGTTCGCACCGAACACCCCTCCCGCGTGTCCCCGGCTCCACACAACTCACACGCGCCGCGCGTTACGCACCGAGCTCGCCATGTCGGGCCGGGGGCGGCTAGAGGCTGACGGCGGCCTGGGACGACGGCAGCGGGAGGCGGCGTAGGAGGAGGAGGCGGAGGAGGAGGAGGAGGTGAAGGAGGAGGCGAAGGAGTTGGAGGCGGAGCAGCGGCGGCGCGGGCGGCACGGGGAGCGCAGCCGCCGTGCGGGCGATGGCGGACATTGTGCTGCGAGCCGCACGGCGCATGCGCGCACAGCGGGGGGGCGGGGCGGGGGGAAAGGGGGGGGGGCCCCAAGCGGCGGCCACGCCGCGTGGGGGCCCCCCCCCCCGCGCATTTCACGCCCCGCCCGCTTTCAATACGGGGCTCCTCCCATTGTGTGCACGAGGCCCCTCCCCCTTTAAGTTGTTCAGGTTCCGCCCATGAAGCACACGACCACGCCCATTGTTGACCCAAGCCGCCCTCGCCCGCCCCAGTATTGAGAGAGCCCCGCCTTTCGCGACCAATGGCTTCGTTCATCGGCCCCGTCCGCAAATCAACACGGCCCATGGGGGCCCGCCTAGCTCCCCCGCCCCTACCAGGACCCCGCCCCTCAAATTGGGCCCCGCCCCCCACCCCAGGGCCCCGCCCCCCACCCCAGGGCCCCGCCCCATAAATAAAACAGCCCCGCCCCTCCGGTCACGTCCCCATCCTTCAAGTGCCCTGCAGCATTTCGCGACTCCCAGTCATTCCAGCACTGCACTATTATTATTATTGTTTGGGTCTTTCGGTAAAGTCACGTAGATAAGTTCAAAGAAAATAACAAAATTTAACAAAAACTACGACGTTTCGATCGCAACACAAGCGTTCGTCATCAGGAAGAGGTGGTTAGCTTCTGTTGCGATCTAAACGGCGTAGTGTTTATTTATTTATTTATTTTTATTTTCTTTGAACCTATCTACGTGACTTTACCGAAAGACCCAAAGAATATGAATTCCTGCAGTCACGAAAGCTTTAAGTCACTATTATTATTATTATTGTTTGTGTGCAGTTCTTATTGTGAGATGCGCAGGCGATACGTCTTCATCCAGCAGTGGACTGACCGAGGCTGGTGATGATGAATAATCATTGAATGATGTGCGTATATTCATTGTTAGCCCTCATTTATCTACTGCTGGACGAAGACCTCCCCAAAACCATCGCCATCTCTCGCAGTCTTGTGACGATTCATCCATCTCGTTCCTCCCACACGTGCACGATCCGGTACACCTCCCACACATACACCTCCCACACATACACCTCCCACACGTGCACGATCCGGTACACCTCCCACACGTGCACGATCCGGTACGAGCTGATCCAGTACACCTCCCACACATACACCTCCCACACGTACACCTCCCACACGTACACCTCCCACACGTACACCTCCCACACGTACACCTTCCACACGTACACCTCCCACACGTACACCTCCCACACGTACACCTTCCACACGTACACCTCCCACACGTACACCTCCCACACGTGCATGATCCGGTACAAGCTGATCCGGTACACCTCCCACACGTGCATGATCCGGTACAAGCGGCTATCGCGCGCGTCTGGCATCTTTTGCCTTCCCACTTCATTTTCAGTGTCGACCACTGAACCATCATCCCGTCCAAGAGGCGTGCGCTTGCCCAAGCCCCATAACCGTTGTCTAATCCATGCCTTCCTCTTTTGGGGTCTCGGCCTAATTCACAACAATCGTTCCTATCGTGCGAGAAACAAAAAAGCGCTGTTTCAAAGACGAATATAGTCTTCCAATGTTGCTGTCATTTCCTCTACTTTCCACCTCCAAATATCAACTGGAATTCGTATACTAATATAAACAAAAAGCTAACACGAAGGCGCTAATGAATCGCTCTCATCTATATATTGCCTACAACTCTCATCTCTCGTCTCCATCTCTCTTATTTAACTACATTTCCGTCTCATCTGCACGTCGCCTGTCACCTCTTTTCAGCTCTATCTCTCGTTCACATTTCTCGCATGTCACACTCCATCTCATATCGCGTGTCTATATCTCTTCAGCCATCTCCACCTACGAGTTTACAATTTGTAAGCGGTCACCACCCCCCCCCCCCAAAGAACAACATCTGCTTAGGGTCCCCAATGGGCCAGCACCACCAGTCAGCGCCTCGAGCATCGCCACACAGAGGAGCCACAACACAGCCAAAGCTAGCACCCTGCACCCACTCCACAAGCCACCCGCTCCAAAGACAAAGATCCCCCGTATAGCCTTCGGCAGACCTTTGGAGGGGGCAAGTGCTGTCAGCGAGCACACCGATGAAGGCCGCCACGGCACACGAGGGGGGTGGGGTGTGCCAGCATTACGCCCGGCCGCCTTTGTCTCCCAAGTGGCGAAGCTTACGCACCGCACTTAGGTGCCCATTTGAGGCTGAGCCGACGTAGGGGAGGGTCCAGGACCGGTTCAGATAATCGTCACCGGCGTTGGTGGCCGTGAGCGGGAGTCGAACCCGGGTGGCTGGGTTCGCAGCGCGCTGCTACCCGCTACCACTACCCACCCCGCTCCTTACGTCCCTACACTCACAACGCGTCTCCATCCCCAAACTCTCTCTCTCTCTTGCTCTGCTGTTCCCATAGCCCAACGCCAATCCACCCAATACAACCTCTGATCCCACGGCTCCCTAAGCCCCTCGCCTTACTCTGACCCACACCACCCGCTCCGCATTCCCCACGCCCTCACTCCGCAGCCCATGCTCGCGCTCGGCTCCCAACTCGACCCCCTCTCCCAGCCCCCACACCCCCCTCCAGAACCTTTCCTTCCCTACCCCCCGCCCCCCACGGCACCCAATTTGTGTCCCACACCAGTTTTCTACCCCACCCCCACAGCCTCTGATCCCCGATCTCCCAGGACCCCCATCCCCTCGCTTTCATTATGACCCCCACACCCAGATTCCCTGAGCCCCCTCCCCTCTTCCTTCTCTTCCCAGCCCCTTCCCCCAGCCACCTCCAACCAACTTCACCAACACAAATCGAAACACGAGACGGGCGCGGTGGCACTGATGAGCCCTAACTTCGGCGGCGATTCTCCGGGGGGGGGAGTGAAGGCACGGGCGACGGCGTGGATACCGTGCAAGAGGAATTTCGACCACGTTGCGGCGACAAGACGCAACTCAGACGCGACCCGAAACAAGTGCCTCACTCGTTAACGCCAAAAAAAAAACCACTCACGAGCACACAACATAAATACAACAACAACAACAACAAAATGTGATTGCTCAGCGTATTGTGGCTCTAGTCATCAGTCGGAGGGGGGGGGCACAGTGACTATTGATCTTGATTGGAGGGCTGCCATACCATAGAAGTTGATGACCACTGACCTACCTGCTTGATTGATGTAGCAGCAACAACAACAACAACGACGTCGACGTATAATGTGCTCACCTTACGCCTCTCAGCTTCCATGCTCTCGGCAGATGAGTGCTCAGTGTTGAGGTGCACGTGTAAAGTTATATCCGTACGGCCTCGCGTTGCCGCAATGCTTCAATCTCATGTTATGCTTCAATTTTTTCATACTCGTTTGAGCAGAAATATTTCTCTGCGTTGTAGCAGTCACACCAAGCCTAAGTGGGTTCGCATTTTGAACTTTGATCTTGATGTTTCATGAAAAAAAAATGAGTTTACATGAAACAAAATAGAGCAATGCCCCGGTTTACGTCAGGGATACATTCCTGAAATGTGCGACGAACATCGAAACGACGTAAATCCAAAGCAATGTACATGGTAGGTGTAGGCGAAGGCTGAGGCGACGGACACGTGAAAGGACGGACGATGCTGTCAGCGACGTAAATGTGTGGGGTTGAGGCGACGCGATTCGGGTAGTGGTGTTAATAAAGTGACGAAGGATTTACGAAACGACGTCAAAGGAAGAGACTAAATCGGGGTATTAATGTAATGACTTGTCTAAGCAGTTACCGGGGTGAAAGGAGGTGCAGTGGTGGGCGCAGTGCTTAGCGCACTGCGTTATTGAACCTCGTGAACCGAATACGATTCACGACCACGGCTAACATCAGTGGCGAGTGATATCTGAACCAGTTCTGAGCCACTCTCCCGTCACCATCCTGTATGTACGGGAGCCGTTGATTGGAAAATTACCAAACATGATTCAATTTATTGTTCATTATAAGTATCTCTGACCTCAGAGGATTCCTTCGTAAACAAGAGACCACGAGTTTCAACAAGCTCTCACAAGGTTAAATAAAGGATGTCATAATGATTAAAACCATGACTGTGTTATCTGGTATTTTGCATCTCAATGCGCTATCGCCTATTGAACTGACACACATGGACGAAATGAAGACGTTGTTATTCCCTTTTAAATTATGCTTGTGTGTGTGTTCACGTGTGTCTTTCAATTATTGTCCGGTTGCTTCATATTGAATATCAATATCAGGCTTGCATGTCTGGAAAGCGACTTATACATATTGCGTTGAAAGCGCAGGCAAAACTTCCTGGAATGGTGCAAAGATATGACGCCTCTAATGATGCTCTGCAAAAGATCATATGGCAGAGACCAGGATTCCAGAGAACAGCCTTTGTCAAGTAATAAAATGCCACCACTGTTAGTGGTACTCTGGTGCACTTTGCAGGGACTGTATTTATAACAGAGCGCGCTTTGGATTATAATTAAAGGTTGAATTATTCACCCAACCCATCAATCGATGAATTGTCGCGATTCAGGGCCATGATTTGAGTCACGAATTTATATATTTTTTTATTCGTTTGTACTGTTTCCACTTCTTTTCTGTCTCATTAATTTACATGTAACGTGAGCCTATAGTGTGCAATTTAATTCACGTAATAATCGTTGAATTGGTGCATTGTTACGCCCCCCCCCCCCCCCAATAGTAAGAAATCTGCATTGTGCTACCTGGGGATTAATCGAGCGCGCAACCGAGAGTCAGAAGTTTGCAAGATCAAATCCCAGTTCAAGTGGGACAACTCATCCAATCATCCCTGCAGGGTAAATGAGTACCACCTTGTTGGAAGTCAAGAGTGGTGGTCATCATCTTTATGGTGGCTGGCCTCCACCATAAAAAATGGGGGATTTACAATTCTGGCTCATGACCACCAATGGCGATGAGGGCTTCCCCATCGCATTTTTTAAAGCCCTTTGTCAATCCTCTTCTGGATGAAGGCCTCCCCACCCCGTGTCAGTTTTGGAGGTTGTTTGGCCGTGCTTCA